GGCTAAGGGTAGATCGGGACGTGCTTACCGTTGGTACCATGTATCACTGACCCGAGTAATGGATTGAATCCATTGTCGAAGCAGATGCACAAATAATCAGTGCATACGCGTACAGCTGAGAAAGTTAATCAGACGTTATCCGCGAGTGAGAAGAACTGCGCACCCACTCTCACACCTGGAGCATTGACCCAGGTACGCCCGATCTGACGCCTGTGTAACACTTGCGCGGGTACATCCAAAGACAAGGACTACCTTCTATGGGAGCAAGCAGGAGCGCCTAGTACGACAAAGCTCTGCCATAACGAGATCAGTCTTCGAAGAGCGCTTTGGGAAGCACTGATGTGGGCAGTGCGGAGCCGTTCGAAGCGCCCTCGCAAGGACAGCGCTTCGTGCAAGCTTGATGTACACCGTAAGATCCGGCCAAAGAAGACGACGGTTTTCGAGTAGGTCCTAATGTTGCAAGGCTCATACAGACGAGAGGTCTGCCTCGCACTTCGTGGTGGTCTATGGCAGAGAAGCGGCGGAGGGCTGTTGACGATCGTGGGGGTGAAATTCGGAAGTCGGCCCGCAATCTGACGCGATGCGTGCGTTGTCAGGTTTCTCGTTGCTTAGACTTCGACCACCACCGCCACGCCTTTTAATTCCAGTACCTCAGCTACGAGTACCATGCTTGGAAGTATCTCGCGTCTGCGAATGACGACCCCGGAGAGTCAAGCTGCGCCTGTTCCCGCGGAGGTCGCGCCAATATCGCGGATGCCCGATGAGGTATTGGACTTGTTCTTCTCTGTTGTCGCCGTCTCGGAGCCCGTCCGCGGGATCCACGATATATCCCAAGCACACCCAGACACAAGACAGCCTACATACATCGAATGTCTGGGTTGGCTGCGTCTTTCCGCCGTTTGCCGTCGCTGGCGTGCTCTTATCTTAGCTTCAAGCGCGTTATGGGCCAGCGTTGTATTCTCTATTCCATCACCGGAGATGGCTTTGCAAGCCCTGTCCAGATCTGGACAGTCTCCTCTCGATATGCGCATTCCTGCCGAAAGGATCACCGCTTGGCGCCTTTCCGGAGAGAACCAGAGCTCAAAGAAGTGGGGACCACCGCATGCCCATCGCGAACGTTTGACGAACCTTGCCGCCACTCATGCTACGCGGATGTCGCGCTTCTCAGCAGCAGACATGACTCCCCAAAATTACCGAGATATCTTCATGGACGGAGACTTTCACTCGTTGTCGAGCCTATCGCTCACGCACGACACGAGACGTGTACACATACCCATCCGCGAAAGCATCGGATACCTGCGCGTTCATGCACCTCGCGCTTACGAGGCCCGCTTACCGGTAGCTCTTCCCGTCGCGTGTGGCGATGATCCTGGCATCAACTTGTCCCTTCCGGGCCTGCGTTATCTACACCTGGACGCCGACTCATATTGCCAGCCGGTCAACTTCAGTGACTGTATGGGGTGGATATTGGGCCTCCTTCGGGGTGCAGCAGGGCTGGAGCATCTGAGGCTCAATCTGGATTACCCTATAGGCTCCCCTATTGACTGGGCCACGTGCTTGGGAGAAGAGACAATACGGCTCCCTGCACTTCGCAATGTAGGTCTTGTAGGGGAACGCGCCGCTCGCATGGACCAGTTTCTATCGCGCATTGCCGCCAAAGCCCTTCCGCGCACGCGACTCTGCGTTTGTTCACGTGCAAGTGGATACGATGAACTCGATACCAATCCCGAATGTTTGGAAGGGTGTGGAATGATCATTAGCAACGCGTTGCGTGCATATTTGCTTGACTCAGTGTGCATCTCGGTACGATGCGGAGGGAGAAAATCAGGTTTCTGTTTTATGGCGTTCTCGAGCTCTGATGTGGCCAGCGAGCCCGCTTTCATGGATGTACTTTGGGATGACGTCAATCGTCATGCCCGTCATTCGGTGGGGCTGGAAGTACTGAATCTCAGTCCCTTGCACGATATGGGATGGGCCACGCTCGACCCACTATCCCCAGGACTCGTAAACTCTGATGTGGCAAAGGAATTATACCTCGATAGCGCAATGTTTGAGCAAACGCGGGTCAGCAACATGCGGCGATTCCTGCGCTCATGCCTCCCGGGCATCACCACCTTACATTGTATCGAGCAGCGAAACGGGCGGGGTGCCTACGAGGACCACATAGAACCTTGCACTGTCTCTCTCAATGTTCTCGTGGAAGGTGTCAACGACACGAGTGAGGACGCAGATTCAGACTCACAGAATCCCGAACTCGACATCGGCCGCACAGGCGCCACATCGACTGTCAGAGCACACGGTCCTTCGGGACATCCGCGCCGTGGCCCACAAGAGGCAGCGTTGTCCATCCTACCCAATCTGACCACGCTCGTCGTTACCATGTGGGTGACCAAGGATAAGACGGAAAAGCCTAGTGAAAGAAGGAAGGACGTCGGCATCTCGAGCGCCGACGTTACCGTCTGGTGGTCCGCGCTCCACCGCGCATTGAAATACCGCTACAACATAGGCTTTCCTATCCGTACCTTACGCATTATCGGCGGCTGGGCGTCGAAGAAGTTACGAGATCGCACAGCGAAACTGGATAGCGGGGAGCTCAAGAGCGTGACTGAGTTCGTCCAGGAAATTGTCGACGAGCGCAAAGTGGAAGGGAACTTTTATATCAAGCCTGATTCGTACGAATATTAACTATGCAACTGTATAAACCCAGTCTTTACTCCTTCTCGTCCATTATTGATGATCGCTATTATAATATACTTATCGCGCATTAACCGCAGTCCCGCGGGACATCCGCCAAGGCCGCAGACCACCCGGTCCTGCAGCACCGACATAAAGCGCTGAACACCATCGCAGCTGATGAAGAGTAGCAAGTACAGAACGGCCGTCGTCTGCCAGTGCTTCAGTGCTTCAGCGCTTACCGGCGGTGATGGCGGTGCTGATGAAAGCCGAAAGACCGACGTGCGCGTCGACTGGTCGAAAGGTCAACAGGGTTTGCACTTGTACTACCACGTCACCACGCGGTACCTCTGCTACCAGTACCTCTCTATAGCTTGGACAGGACGCGCGCCTAATCTCAACACGGATGGCGATGGCGAGCCTCGAGGAGTCGAGGTCTGTCGAGGTGACATTTGTGGCCGCGACGTTCCTCAAGTTGAAGTTTCCAGTTGGGATGCGGATGGGCTGTATGTCTTCATGATGTTCCCGGTACCTTCATGTGTTGACGCGGAACTATATTCCCATAGTCCACGAAGAGCTGAGAATCCACTGAGTATACAGCTCCCATCGTGAATGGACTAGAAAGCCGTCGTCTGCAACCTCCAACGATGGGTCGATGATTACTCCGAGTCGGACGCATCACATCCTCGTCCTCCTCAAAGTACTGCACACCGTTACACCTTCTGAATATGCTGCGGTCCAATATCAGCGAGTCTACTGCCACTGCTTAGAGCCCGGAAGAAAGTTAATGCGCTAGTCGAGACGTATGTGAACCACGTTCACGCCGGTTCACCCTCCCGGTGCTCACAATTCCCGAATTTTCGGAATGACGTCCCCTCTGCCGTGATGTATCGGTCGCGTCAAGCTCGCGATCCGCCACTCGGGCTGTGTAAGCCAGTTTCTCTCCAGTTTCTATCGGACTCTACTGGTGCTTATAACCCCGCACTGCGCAATAGACAATCTCACATTTTTATTTGCCCCCCTACTCTCAGGATGACTTCGTTCCCGCAGACTATCAAGGCGCTCCAAGTTCAGGACAATAAGTCGGTGAAGGTGGTGGATCTTCCGTTTGCATCGCAGGAGAAGGTGCAGAAGTTGCCGGAGGATCAGGTCCTGGTGCGTAGAGCATTGCATTCGTTATCTCCTATCCCTCGTTGACGTCAAGAGCAGGTGCGTGTTCGTGCGGTCGGTCTGAATCCCACCGACTGGAAACATGCTCTCGGGCCGTGGGGGATGCCTGGCACGATCTCCGGCTGCGATGCGGCCGGCGATGTTGTTGCAGTTGGCTCGGCCGTCTCCCACCTGAAGGTTGGGGACAGGGTCTGTGGCTTCAAGTGCGTGCTCCTGGATAAAGTCTACACCACGATACTCATAATCATCGCAGCTATGGTGGTTCGTGGCAAAAGGACAACGGCGCGTACGCCGAGTATGTTCGCTTCATCGCGGCCGTCTGCTTCGTGCTTCCTCCAGAGATGACATACGAGGAGGGCGCATCATTCCCTATTCCCCACCTCACCGCAGTGCAGGCGTTGTACATGCGCCTGCCCTTCCCTAAGCCGCTTACTCCGGCCGCCGACGAGTTCAGGCAGAAGGGCGAGAAGATCCTGATTTGGGGTGCAAGCACTGCCGTCGGCCACCACGCCGTGCAGCTCGCCGCGTTGTCTGGCCTCGAAGTTTACGCCACTGCGTCCCCGGCCGCTCACGCTGACATCAAAGCTCTCGGAGCGACACACGTCTTTGACTACAAGGATGCGGATGTGGCTTCGAAGATCAAACAGGCCGCTGGAGATAAGGGAATCATCTACGGCCTCGATACTGTATGTGAGAAGGGTAGCACCGACGCGACTGTCGTGAGTATATATCCTCTTTTACACGTCCTACCTGCTAAAGCGCATCTTAGGATGCTATGTCGCCCACCCGTGGCGGTACTATCATCACCACGTTGCCTATCTCGGACGAGACCAAGAACCGCCGGAAGGATGTCAGCGTGGACTTTACGCTCGTGTACACGGAGCTCGGCTACGAAATTAACTTTGCAAACGCGTTCCCGTTCCCGGCCATGCACGAGGACAAGGCGCGCACGCAGACGTACAACGTGGAGGATGCTCCCCGCGTGTTGGACGGGTGGAAGGCGGGTGTTGGTGCACCGAAGTTCAAGACGCAGAAGCTGCGCCTTCTTCCGGGCGGTCTAGAGGGCATCGCGGAGGGCCTCAAGATCATGCAGGATGGCGCATACGGCCGCGAAAAACTTGTGTACAAGCTTGATTAAGCGTCAATCTGTACCCTTATCATCATGCATTATATACGATCCAATCTACTTTCGTAAAGAGCCTTTCCGGATCGACGCGTCCCGCGTCTATATGTCGATAGTCACGGGGCCGTAAAGACTTCCATGCTAAGAGCGCACCGGCCGCCACTTGACTTCTACCTTCATCTCCCCCGGGCCCCGCCTTCTGGACATGCCCGCCGCCATGGATGTGGACGAGAATGAGCCTGTGCTTTTATTCCCTCCCGAGATATGGTCCCACATCGCTCTGCACATCGACTGGCGCGAAGACTTGATCGCACTTGCACAAAGCTGCCACTATCTTCACGACCTTATTATCCCGAATCACTTGCAGTATCATGTTATTCAGGCTCCTTTTCACAATCTGTCTCTATGGAAGCATCTCATCTCACATCCGAAGTGCGCTGGGAAGGTCACTGTCCTCATACTTTACGACGGCACCGTGAAGCGGCATACGGAGAACTGGCGCGTGCCATCTGTCGTGGCGAAAGACGACATGTCGGGCCGTGTCGAAACCAATGAACTGGGCAATGCGATCATTGCAGCATTTCAGGTCATGCGCAACCTGCGCGAGTTCAAGCTCGATGCTCCTTGTGAAGGCAACAACCCTCGCTCGTTCGAAAACGCACTAGACGCCCTACATTTGGCCATTTCCCACCTACCGAAGCCGAAGCTGACGATCTCGGCTCCCTATCGGTACCGCTTCCCGGCATTGACAGAAGAAGAGGCGTCGAACATCGAGGAAATCGCGAGCGCTGAGGATTTACGGGCGGCGGACTTGGTGCGGAGGAATATGGTACGTGCCAAGCGACTCTTACTTTGGGTGGGATGCTGACATCTGCACCAGTTCTGGAAGCTTGATGATATTGTTCGGTTGGATGTCTTGAAGTTTGATGCGATCTATACGACGGACCCGAGGAAAACGCGCCGAGCGCTTGTGGCGGATCTCTTTGTACCCATGCTTGCGAAGTGCCATGCCTTGGAGGTACGTATACTAGCATCAGGATCCATTATTTTCATACTGATCACGTCCTACCAGGAACTCAAACTGCGCACTATACCCTCTTACTTGAGCGCTGGCCTCGCCAGCGTGCATCTACCGTCCCTACGCTCACTATACGTGACGGCACAGGATACCCTTAAGGAAGCCGAGGAGCGCCACATCCAGGACTTCCTACGCGCCCACACCAGCTTGACAACTCTCCAATTCACGCTTCTATCTCACGTCAGCTGGTCCAGTACTGTTGATGGTCCCTTCCCTCTCCTACCCAAGATTGAGCATCTCCTCGACGCACCCGCCGCCTTCGTCATTGCGATCTTCAAGAACAGGCGGGAGGTTAGCTTCGTCCTAGCGACCTTGGGTGACTTCCACCTCTTGCAGATTGTTAGCACCGCAGGCTTCATTGTGCTAAGCCGGTATGAACTCAAACGCCTCGGGCTCTCGCACGTCATCAACTTGTCAACGCTACGACTCGCGAGCAGTATCTTCCCGGCTTTCAACGAGCTACACCTACCGTCCTCCGGAAACCCTCGTCATACCATGTTCACGGGCTCGTCAAGACATCTACATGCGAATCGGGGACAACCGCAGCACGAGCCCAATCCCGCTTGGCCGCTGTGGTACCGCCAACTATACGACATCGAGGAGATCCACGACTCTGTACCGAATATCTTCGAGAACCTCCGGGAGGTATCGAACGTACGCACAACGGCGGGACTGGTGCCGGACTACACGGACTGGCTGCGTGGTGGCTCGGAGGAGCGCCCATACCTGAAGGGAGTTGACCGGGCGAGCGTGGAGAACGCACTCCGCTCGATCTCGAAGCGGTACCCGCGGTTGAGAGTGGTGAATGGTTGGAGGATTGATTAGGGGTGGATCTTGTTGTTTGCTATGTCTTGTATGTTGTGTGGATGGTACCGATTGTTGTTTGCCTGTCCCTTGGGTCGTCTGCAAGAAAGCTTTCCCCTGGGTCACGCATAGTCTTTTCGATTTGTAGCCTTTCTTGCGGCAAGGATTGTGAGGATTGTGGTAGGTAGTCTACGAGTAGTCATATATACGGATGGATGGTACTATGATCATCGGATACAATGCATGCATTGCTATCATTACAGCATCTAAGGGCGGCGTTGACATGAGAAGTTGATCAACGTCGTGAAGACCGTGGGGCGATCCCACGTCGTGCCGCTTGTGCTTCGACCGCGACGTTGACGGCGTCGACACATGCAACAATATACCCATAAATCTGAACTTGCCACCGTCATCCAAAGCTCTACTCGTTCAGACGCCCAGTCTGATACGCCCCGCCCGCGCGCGGTCCTTAATAACCTTGAAGAATCTCCTGTCCATCCGGTGTCACCTCCCCGCGCGCCAGTCGTCCCTCAAAATTCTCGTCTAAGGAAGCTCTGATGGCGGTCCAGTCCTTGCACTTGTGCATGACGTCGAGCCCGCTTGCGCCGTGCATTACTTTGCCGGTGGCGTCCTTCGCAAGCTCCCCGTACTCGAGTGTCGTGTCCGCGCCACACAAGATGATCTCGCGCAGGTACTGCGCGCACAAGGCGTGCTTCAGCAGACATCGATCTCCACATGGCAAAAGATACGCACGACAAGACAATGGTTGACATGATGCTCGACCCCCGTCCCGTTTCCGGGATATTGCAAATACCCGTGCTTCGCGGCGGCGTATCCATAACGAAGGGCGTCCAGGCAGTGCATCTGGTGGAACATGCTGACGACGAAGAGCTCGCGCTCTGGCCCAAGAGCGACCCAGCCGTTCGATTTGGGGAATATGCTGGCCCACTCCTCGTCCTGGTAGATCCCATATAACTCGTCATCCGGCCACTCGATGTTCATGGCCGCTTGAGGGATGTGGACTGGCAACTCCTGCGGCTTATCCTTACCCTGCCAGCCTAGTTGTGCAGGCGTCGTGAGTAGAAGGGGTCACGAAGAGGCGTGTGGAGGACGCACTGTACTGGACGCGTTCTGGATACGCAAGCTTCTCGAGACGCGCCGCATTCTTCCACTTCGCACCCAGATCCAATGTTTGCAGCGCTCCGAGTAGCGCGAGGGCCAGCGAGATCACTGCCCATATTGTCGTGGACTCCGCTGAAGAGTGCATGGTGAGATGAGCAGGACGGCTAGGAATACGCGATCAAGCCTCCGTTGGATGAGGTGGAAGCTTTGGCGGAGTTCAAAGTAGTTGCAGCACGCCTGTGCGGTCACCTCTCGGTCAGGGCCGTACGTGCACGCGCCAGCGCCGAAAGTGTCCAATATCGCTGTGGTCGCTTCATCAGCGACCGGAACCTTCTCTATTTCTACCGTGATATCGCGCGTCGGCGCGCCGGTCGGTACCTTGGAGTCTGGCTGGTTTAGCCTTGACATGCCCGTGTCCACCGGCAGGCAGTCCTGCTGCTGATGGAAGACTGGAGCTGCGGCGGACGCGACGTGCGTAACGTAGGCCCGAAGTGCCGTTTGCCTTGCGCTTCCACCTCGATATCGTGCCGCGAACTCGCGATCGCGCCGGTCTGCCTGACCCTTCATCGATCATCGACAATCATGTCCGCGTCGTACCAGAAGCTCGCGCAGAGCGAAGACGGGATCCCTTCTGCACCACCCGCTGCGAGCGAGTCTACGCTTGCACGTCGTCTACGTCTACTCGCCATCGTGCTTCTTGCACTCAACGTTCTGCTCGCCGCTGCAAATGGCGCCATGACCTTGCGCAACGGTGCCGCACTGCACCGCGTGCTCCCCGCATTCGATGTGCATAGTCTACCTACGCCTGATCAGTATCAGGGTCTACCGGAACACTCGCGTAACAAAAGTGCGTAACTCTTGCGACGAGACATGATACCATGAAGCTCAGTGTTACTCAACAGCCGTTGTTTTGCGCGACGAGAATGGCAATCTCATCTACCCGTCAAGAGAAAAGGCTCAGACCCGTCGCGACTTCCTTACAGATATTCTCGGACGTTGATCCTCTGCCTTCTGCTGTATACATCGGGGCGCAGCAGTGTCCCGACTCCATCCCCTACACACACTACTCGTACTTCTGATCACGCTGAATCGAGAGATACGTACCATCGCGTTCGGCTGGTTGTGGTCCTGGCAGCGGTAGCGGTAGTACCTTGAACCGATGTGGTTGTCGGAAGTACTATGGCGTACATTGGCACACATGCGCTTGCACGCAGCGCGATTCGTGTGGCACCGCTCGCATTCTTCAATGACACTGCTTTCGGAGAGCGATAGCCATTACATACTACAAACCTACTGGCGTCTGACAGGATCTGTCAGTCCACTATATATTCTACTAAGACCCAGGTACCAGCAGGGCTATCACAATATGAAGGGGTAGACTGTAGCTTTCATTTACCCCGGCCCATCTCTTCGCCGCGGCCTACGCGACTCGAAGTTGCGACAAACCATCATAGCGCTAATTCCGACCATTGAAGAGCGCCCATCTGCAGTCTCCGTATTGAACTGCGCTATCCTGACACTTGTAGTCTCTTGACGGGGATTTATTTGTCCGTATCGTACTTCCGAGCGCATACGTGAAGCGGACGCTTGAACAGCATGAGCGTGCATGTGAACATCTCGCCCCCGATGGCCTCCCGGCCCCGTTTGACCGGACACCCTCCCACGTCTTACCGTACATGGTCCTTTAGAGATCGGGCGGGACCTGCATGATGCGTGGAAAGCCTGCGGAAGCGTGTGCACGCTGCAACATCATACATCAAGATCAACATCCCATCAGGCCCCAAACCCAGATGACGGGTTCTTTGTCGTGCCAGGATCGGTACCGCCGGCCTGGCTTCTCGCTGCTTTTATCTCTACGTCGGGGAGGACGTGCGGACCACACTTCTTGCCCCGCGACCGAGACATCGTTCGGCAAGAACGTCCTCCATGCCGGTCCTCGCTTTGAGTCCCTACGCTCCGGATGAGCCGGAGAGCTTGATCATCAAGGAGCGCGGTGTGCTGTCCGGCATAGGTTTGGGGCTAGCTGCATGGGGTGCGTGTATCCAGAAGAACATCCCCAAGAAGTCCTTATTCATCGAAGTCCGGTCTCGCAGGTATCCTCTTCACTCTGGCCGTGCAATGCGTTGCCGCACTATTACCTCGTGCACGGCGGGAGATGGGCAAGGCTACCCTGCTGGTCTATGTTATTGTCATGTTCTCACTCGGGACCACTGCCATCTTCTTGCATCTGCATTGGGTACAAGAGTTCTTAATCGACAACCGTAACTACCCCGGCGGGCCCATGGTCTATGATGCAACTTTCTATGCGAACGCAGTCAACATCACTGGGGTTGTTTGGTACGCGGATATCCTCAGGAACTGAACGGACGATCATGCTCATATTCTCGCAGTTACTTCATTATGAACTGGATGGCGGATGGCTTGCTGGTGAGCTTTACAACTCTTCATTTGTACATTGCTGATATGAACTCATTGCCAAGTAGTTGTATCGCCTCTACGTCATATACGGTCAACGCTTTATCTTTGTTGCATTCCCTCTTTTGATGTTCTTGACATCTTTCTGTGCGTCCAATGGAATGAGTCGCTTGGCTTGGATGATACTCACAATACCATTCCAGCCCTGTCCGTGGTCGACCTTTATACTCTTGCCCAACCCGGGAACAGCATGTTCACCGACTCCGCCGTCAACTTTGGCTTGCTTTACTGGTCTTTCAGTATCGCGCTCAACGTCCTCGTGACGGCCGCAATCGTTGGTCGTCTTCTCGTCATGCGCGCTCGATTGGCCAGCATCAACGGGCCAAAACACGCCCAACTCTATGTCTCTATCTCCGCAATGCTCATCGAGAGCGCCTCATTGTACTCCATTACGGCTATCGTCTTCCTCGTTGGCTACTCCCTACAAGACGCTTTACAGTTCGCGGCTGAGCCAGTCGAGATTCTCCAGGGCGTTGCACCACTCATGATTATCCTCCGAGTCGCGCGCGGAACAGCGATCAGCGATATTACCGTGGGGACGGGCAAGGGCACGCGTGGAGGCACGGCTTCCACGGGGCCGCAACTCACGTCCATGCAGTTTACGCCGAGCGCAAGTCGTGGGACGACCACCCGGACGACGCACCTGAGCACTACGTTCAGCGAGGAGGTTGAGATCGGGTCGCGAGCTGTGCACTGGCCAGACATCTACGATGGTAGTCAGAGTCAGACAAGTGGCTTGGAAATGAGCGCATATAGTCCGACCGACGCCAAGGTCAAGGCCGCGCTGCGATGACAACAGATGCTACACTCTTTTCGATATTACTAATTTGTAGAACATGTACATTCTATCTCCGCAATTATATCCCCGTAACTGGTCTTGCCACACGTTTAGTTGGGCACACAGTACATTCCAGGGCATAGCACATAGGCACATTCAACGCATACAGTCGCGCAACTGAAGTCCTTACGCAATGTACGCATGAGATTCAACAGACGCGACATCTACAAATATCTATATGGCCTGACTCCAGCACGTCGAGTATACCCCGCCAACTTCCATCACATTGTGGTAACGCCATGGATTGAGATTCGGAGGCGCTTCGCGCACGTTCACGCAAGGTCGCTCGTATCGGAGGTAGTGTGCGTCGCAATCAGGAGACCAGGCTCAGGTACAGCACGGTCAGCCAAGTCGCTCGTGTCCGAGGTGGTGTGGGTTGCGATGAGGAGACCCGGTTCGGGAACTGCGCGCGCGGCGAGGTCACTGGTGTCGGATGTAGTGTGGGTGGCAATGAGCAGGCCGGGCTCGGGTACAGCGCGCTCAATCAACTCGCTAGTGTCCGAAGTGGTGGACGTCGCGATCAAGAGACCGGGCTCGGGGACAGCACGGTCGGCGAGCTCGCTCGTGTCCGAGGTGGTGTGAGTGGCAATCAGGAGGCCGGGTTCTGGCACGGCGCGCTCAGCGAGTGCACTCGTGTCGGACGTGGTGTGCGTCGCAATGAGGAGACCCGGTTCGGGCACGGCGCGGCCTGAATATAGGTCAGTACATTGCTCTTGGTCGGGCAAAGTTACAGACAAACACTCACGCGTAGGCGCAGCGGCTGCAAGAGCAGCGAATACAACGACAGCGAGGGATGCAGAGACCATATTGATTCGTGAAGAATGTGCGGGGTTGGGTCGGTGACGATGGTCAGTGCCAACGAGAGGTAGGCACAGTTTACATACTACTTATCCATTGTCCGACAACCGGCTTGGTAACTTATGCCGCCCGCGTCGGAACGCACGAGGAGGGCACGACGCATTTTGAAGCCGAATTGCGAGCGGTCGATGAAGGCACCGGTACCGACCACTATGCTTGCATCAGAAGCGCCCATGTGGTCGAGGGGCTATATATTTTTGGATAGTGGATCGGGGGGAGCCCCAGTTCGAGGCAGCTATCATGGAGCGCTGATGGATAGAGAAGATACCGTACTCGGCCATCGATATCTGTCTCCGTAGTGTTCCAAATGACTGGCCAGCAAACAAAGAACCTCCAGCTCAGACCTCATGCTAAGTATCCAGTACGTTTCCGCATGGTATGTCGAAAACCTTATTACCGTCGATCAGCTACACTTGGCTTCCCAGCGCAGCCGCCGATCCAAAGGGACTGTCCCACCGACAAGGGACCCGCAGGAGACAGGAGAGCCGCTGACGAGCGTGCCGTGCTGTGAGCCGTTCTGTGTCGGCGGGAGAGGTATATCCGCCGCGCATCGCGCTGGAGGCACGAAACTGGATAGTGCACTGGGCAGTGGATTGTTGTGGTCTGGACGATAAACAGAACTCGCGTGCGGCTGTGAGGAAAGTCTGATGATGGTCGTCGCGGTCGACGTCGGTCGGGTCAGCTCCGGGGTGACGCGGGAACGCTGATGGCGCTTCTTGACAAGCACCACCTCCATACTTACCTGGCCCTATTTCATATCGAGTACAAAGCACGCCGTGACTTTGATCGTGTCTATATAGTGATGGGGCTGCTACATCTGGATCTGTGAGATCGAACGAGTGGTCCAAAATATCTGTGATAGTTTTATGCACCCCGGCGCTGCACGTCAAGACACTGGAATTCTGATGTAACTCTAACCCAGACCTAGCGCGATACATCCACGCACGTACCGGTCTGATCTGGATCTTCTACAAGTCCGTCATCGATCACTGTTAGACGCTCTTGCCCTCTCTTTGCGGCTGTCATGTCAGTCACGGAGGCTACGAGCGCTAAGCGCAACGCGGACTATGTGCTTGTTGACGGCCCGCCTGAGATACGTCGGTATGCAGCCAACGCAGCCAGTTCGCTTGCTCATTCTCATGGTGGTGATGCAGTTTAGCCACGCAGTATTTCTACATGAAGCACTTCTTCGACAATGCAGACTTCCTTCCCCCGCCGATCGATATCGACAAGGTTGAAAGCGTACTCGACGTTGCAGCTGGAACAGCAGCTTGGACATTGGACCTTGCAGACCAACCCGCAGCGGCAGCACGCCTCCCACCTCACAATCACCAGCATCCTCTACACCTCCGCATCTGCGACATCTCTACCGCCAAGTTCCCCCCAGAAGACATTCTCGCACGGGCTGGCATCGAGGCATTCCAGCACGATGTGCTCACCCCCTTCCCTGCCGAGTTGCAAGGCACAGTTGACTTGGTGAACATGAATTACCTCGTCTACGCCCTCACGGAGGAAAAGTGGAAGCTCGCGCTCAAGAATGTGCATGGCGTTCTCAAACCGGGAGGATATCTCATCCTCCGCGAAAGCGACCCCGTGTTCTATTCTGCGTCGAGCCCTCCGCCACCAGACGATGGCACACCTCACGACGTGCAGGCCCAGATCAACGGCACGACGTCTGTGCACAAGATGAACTCAATTCTGACAGGCTTCGCTGTAAAGAGCGGTTTCGTTGTCGGGTCTGTATCATCACTATTCCTCCGCAATTGACCAGGCTCATATCATGCTCAGGTTGTCCCATCGCTTCCCGGGATTACTTCAAGGTGCGGGCTTGACCGTGGCTCACCGGAAGCGCCTTCTACTGCCTTCCGGCGAGCTCTGCAATACGTTTCCGACAGCTCGGGGCCGTTCCATGGCGCCAATGAAAAGCAGTAGCGTGGAGAACTTGGACGCAGTCTTCGACATGCTGTCAAAGGTTTGGCTTGACCGAGGGATGCTCGAAGTGCCCGCTGGTACGAAGATCGAGAGCGAGGAAAAGCGGCAGGCTATCCTGAAGGAGTTACACGAGCGTGCAATGGAGGGTGTCTTGGTAGTTCAAACAGAGATAGTCGCTCAGCGTCCGGCTTAGTGTGCCGCATGTTGTACCGCATGGCATGTCGTGCTTGCTCGCCGAACACTCGGATGAATAGCACCGGTTCTCAATATTGACTGGAAACTGGGGCATCACGGATATATAGTGGTTTGAGACTAACACGGCCATATAGTGGCTCTATTCGTCCTCGTAGCCTTGTACTGGCCTCCTCTGGCGCTGCGGCACTGTACGGGGCGTAAATATTATATTCACTGACAGACGCGGGGAAAACGGGATGCAGTATGAAGTCAATTTACGACGTACATGGGTAGGACCTCGGCACTGGCTCTGGTGCAACATATTTCCCACTCGACTTCAACGCATTTCCAACGACCATAAAGACTGGGGCCGTGCTGGCGATGGCAACGGCGAAGAAGAGGGCCGGCTTCTCATGAGCTGCCCATCGCTGTTGTGAATGTTTCAGTATATTATGTGACCTCAGAGCAAGTATATACGCACCATATAGCGCAGTGTACGGCTGATCGGGGTGCCTGCGGAGGCCATGGTTGTGGTGAGCGTTCAAGTTGAGCGCGTCGCGCGCGTGAACGCGTCGGGGCCATTCGGCGGTTCGCGCGCTTTTACATAAACACGACAAGCGCCCGTCCTGCGCACCGACCATAGGTTTGGATACCTGTACGCTCCGGCCTCTGCATTACTTTGAGCTCTGGGAGGTGTTCTTGCCACTTTAGCGCTGATGAGCCATTGCTGCGCTTTATAATGTTGCAGTCGCTAGCACACACATTTTGGGTATATCACCGCTGAAGCTGGTCCTTTGCACCGATACACATGTACTAAACACTATATGCGATTGCATACTCTGAAGGTTCGCAAGCGGATGCACAACATATATGAGAAGAAGTACCAAGTACGTAGATGGTCCAATCAAAGATACAGAAGATAATGATACACAGGCGCTGCTCTGACCCAGGTCAACCTCCCCGCGGACGCTTGTGCGGCGCGCCGTACTGTATGTTCGGCCCTGGTCGCTTCGAGCCTATCGACATCTGAGACCCGCCGTAGTTGTCATGGTTGATATATTGCGACAGCGAACGCGCTGGCTGTGTGGCAACGGGTCGGGATGAAGTCGGTTGTGTCGGTCTGGTGGGAGATTGCGATACCTCCATACGACGGAATTGAGAGGTGACAGAAGTGGACGAGGGTCGCGGTTGCGTCTTGATTTGGGGTCGCGAGACAGACGCGGAAGCTTGAGATGATACCGGTCTCTGCGATGATGTCGAGACGGGTCTCTGCGATGATGCCGGGGCAGGTCTGTGCGACGATGTCGAAGCAGGTCTTTGTGATGATGCCGGAGCAGGTCTCGGTGCGGCGCGCTGAGAGGACGTCGAACCGGAAGAAGCGGGAGCTCGTTTCTGGCTGAGCGCAGGACCCTTCTCTAGTACAGCTGGATTCTTGCTCAGCATCTGAACGGCCAATACTCTGGATATATCACATACTGATCTCAGGTTCCGATGTGTCCTCGTCCTCCTCATCATCTTCGTCCTCATCCTCGTCCGCATTAAGTTGATCGGCCTCATCGTCTTCCTCCGGTAGGTTCAGAAGCGCGGTACCCTGAATCTTGAACTCGTCGAGGAAGTCGACGTATGCTTGTAAGCATGACGGGTTGAAACGCAAGTCCGTGAGATCCGCTCGGGCGCTCTCGCGCATCGCTTTAACGGCAAAACCAAGGTGTCTCAGCGAGAAACGGGTGCGGAAGAAAAAGACCAAGTGTATCATCGAAACCAGATCCGTAGGAGCGAGGGTCTTGGGCCGCTTATCCATGGGTATACACCAGGGTTCTTTGTTCAGCAACTCGATTAAGAGGGTCACGGACTCTTCGAAGTCGTCCAAAAAGTGGTTTGAAACAGGAGGCGACGGATCACCCAGCCATTTCTGAACCGCCTTGTACGTCGCATATAGGTTCGCTCCGGTGATGCGATGTTTGAGCTTCTCGTGTATGGTGAACATTGCGGTCGAGATCTAATGAACGTTAGATCTTGTCATATGGCTAGTGGCGACACACGAACCCATCGGAAATCCGCCTCACGCGCAGGGTTGAAGTGGCTTTCCTTGAGGGTTCCACGATGCTGATCCGACAGCCTCTTGACCACCTCCATCTTGTCGTTCAGGGTCTCGGCCTTCATTTTCTCTGGTAGGAGATCAGCGAGTCGCGCCATAGAGTTCGCATAGCGGCATACCCGACACATTGAGAGCGACACCGAGTTGCACACGCTGTATGGCGTTAGTATACCGCGAGGATCCACCAAGGTATCAGAAACTCACTCGGAATACCTCGCGCTGTTGCTGATCATCCAGTCCCTCGAACTCAACGTACGTCATCTGAGCGTTCTTGAACTGATTGCGATACGGGTTGGGGAGAATGTAACCGGGTTGCTCCTTGTCCGTACTCTTATACCACCACTTGTCCCTGGGTTCTGCTCTGGCGAATTGTGAGCATGAGGGTAATCGGCGAAAGAATAGCCACGAACGGGTTCAACTCTACCTCGGGTTAGGTCAATCTTCCTCATGATAGTGACCATGCTTACGACATATCTAGAACACGCTTGATGAGCATATCAGGGCACGGAGAAAGATCAAGTTTCTGACCTCTCCATTCATAAATCTCCTGATAGACGTTAAGCGCTGTTTACCATCGATGCAGACACGACGGGTCTCTCCCTCCTCGTTTGTGATAGTTGCTGTTACGAGAGTTTGAGCTTGTGCGTATCTGAAGGGTTCTCTTGACTCACCAAATATCAATGGCGGTATGTGCTACATAGTAATGAATATGACATATCGCTGAGACGATAACTGAACGTACATAACGCAAGAATATGCTATCCACGAGCATTTGTTGCTTCTGCGCATTCCAAACAACGTCTATGCAGCGCTATCAATGATCATGCTCAGGGTGAAGGAAGTCAACGCCACACACCTCGCTGGTAATCCGCATTCAGGTCAAGTAAATCTTTCTTCATCCATTCTTATTCCATCAGGGCCAGTCAGAACCAAGATCCGGACGAGTTTACCCACTATGAAGCGCCTCTATGGAGACCGAGCCAGCTTTGAAGGGAGGAAGGGCTTTGCCTGCGAGGCTGAAAGGTACAGGAGCCTTCTGCGATCCCGTAGGCGGCGCCATCTTCGAGAATAAACAGATGTATATATGGGTAAATCCCCCTTGAGCTCCGTAAGGCCGCCACGGGCGAGCGTTCTTGTCGAACGATACAGAAGGTGGTGGTCGGGAGCAAGACCACTTGAATGGCGTGGCGCGCGGTTCACTCGGTTATTCGGCCCGGTTCCGCAAGCTTCTCACGACTCATCCTGAGTCGATTTCGCGTACGTACGCCAGTTCGCCTACCAGATCTAAGTCAAAACACGGACCACAGTGATAGCACGCAGGCCCGCATGAGTATCTAGGAGCACTAGGTCGAGGTGCATCCGATTCGAAACCCAACTACTGTCATCCTAGCGGGACATGTGCGTACAGCTCTACTTCATCATTCCTACAGACCCAGCGAAAACCACTGTTGTACATCTACCACAACCCATACTCTACAATCTCACGCTCTAACTGGCCCTCTTCTACATCCTGCAAAGTATATCCGCTCTTCTTCCCCCACTCCGAGGCCGGAACATCGTCGAAGCGCGTGAAGTTCTCCAGGGTGATGTACGGTTCCAGGGTCGCCAGATTCATATAGTGCGTGTACTGCTCGCGGCGGCTAGAGTGAGAGTGTCAGAAAAGCCATCGCAATAGTCTAGGGAGGCGAATGCTCACTCGAAAGGCCAATTCTCGACCAGAGCGCCGCCGTTCTCTAACGACTCGTTGTTGAGCCAAGTCACCCACTGGCGCTGGAACGCTAAAAGACCGTGAGCCTCAGGAAACATTCAGTGGACATCAAGGACATACCCTCGCTTTGCTCTGTTCCCCAGAGGCCCCAGAACGAGCGGTATCGCGTCGAGTTGTACTGCCGCCACAGCTCCGCCTCGTTGGGCAGGTGCGCGGTGCCTTCCCAGACTTTGGCTATTCCGAGGGCTTGGTAGCGGACCGTTGTCCACGGACGCGCTGAGTATGGGTAAGATGAGAGAATCCGTGGACGAGCCATGGGTGGAACTCACAGTTGGTGAAGGCGAGCGTAGGGTCTGGGATGTAGTGTCCGGTCCAGTGCGTATTGCGGTATGAGCGGAATAACTCCGTCGGCCGAGTGCTACGATATCACGCATAAGCGCTCAAACGCCAGCATGAGAGAAAGAGGTTACGCACTCCTTCGATACCTGAGCCAAGACACGGTTGACGTGAACGTAACCGGTGGCGAAGATGATCTACGCAAGAGAAGTGAGTACGTGTGAGCATAAGGATCCTCGAACACAACGACGCACCTCATCAACACCCAGTTCGAGAGTTGAGCCATTGACGAATGCAATCTTGCCGGACTGAATCCCCTGTCCTTTGAGAGGCTCAAACGACGCGATCTCGGGAACCAGGTTCGTATTGGCAGGTAGGCGCTTGAATGAGCGACGTTGGTAGGGGTGGAGCTTCTCCCAGTCATAGGCCTGAGTACATCCCAATCAGTATTGTGACGAAGGCTGGGGGAATGCTTGTGGCTTACCTTGCGGCTAACGTAGAGAGTCTTGACGTACGGAGCAATGTCACGGGCGATCTCAGAACCGGATACGCTAGCGCCAACGACGAGCACCGTCTGTAACGGCACAACTTCAGCATGCAAGCGTCGCAAAGAGTCAACATCGAGAGCTCACCTTATTGGCATAGTGCTCCGGCCGACGATAAGACCTCGAATGATAAATCCCATACCCCGTCGGGCTCTTCCCATCCACAACGCCACTCCACTCCACAATCCCCGGTATATCAGGAACATGCGGCTGCTCCGGATCCAGCCCGTTCACAGCGACGACCACAGCGTCGAACTCTTCTTGCCACCACGTCTCCTCGAGCCTATTCGACTCCTCGAGCTTGCGCAGACGTTTCAGCGTTAGGGTCCACTGGCCGGATTTGGAGAATCTGGAGACGCGCTCGACGCGCGTGTTGTAGGAGACTGCGGAGGGGTCGTCGGAGGAGGAGAAGCCGTGGAGGGCGGCGTAGCCGCGGACGTGCGCGGTTACTATGGCTTGGCCGGGGGCCCATGGCTGTAACGGTCACATGCCTATTAGTATAAAGCTGCTATAGGGAAGAAGAAGACGAACGGTGTTGGGAGGATAAGGCACACCAGGAAGATCCGTGATACTAATAGGCGAATTCGTATGTAGATTCTTCCACACAGGCCGCGGAACCCAATGTGCGCGCCATCGTTCGTCGAGCGTACGTCCGTCTTGCCCCTCAGTATAGTACTCCACATGCGGAAGCTTGCTCGGAGTGTACGGGTTGAGGTTCACCGGTGAATCACTACGCCCTGTCAGCCTGGATACTACTCTGAAGTAGAGGGGGATATGGCACGCACGGGTACGCCTCGCGCACGGGAATATCGTCCGTGAACCTCCAGTTCCCACCGGGCCCAGGCGCGCGGTCGAAGATGGTAACGTTGAACTTATGCGCCTGCAGTTCGGCGGCTACTTGGAGCCCGGAGGGTCCAGCACCGATGACGGCTACGCGCTTGATGGCGCGCGGGAACGTCGTCCATGGCGAGTTGGAGTCCGAGTCGAGCACGACTTGCTCTGAGGCGGACGCAAGACCGCCGAGAAGCGAGGCAGAGAGCAGGGTTCGTAGCCTCATGAAGAGATAGGCGGGTTCGAGCGCGCAGGCTTATCCATCGCGTTTTATAGAAGTTTAGCGCGCTGCTGAGATAGAGCGTGTACGGTTGAGGTGACCTCGCGCCATCGTCACCTCGCATTCCGACACTCGAGCCGTGGGCGCGCACGACGAGGTAATCACTGCTTCATTGTATAGAGTTTGATCGCTGAGTATCCTTGTCGACGATGTATGGGCATGGCTTCCTCAACTCTGTCTAGAGGAAGGTCTTCTGGGGATCGTCGTGGAGGTTTCGGCCAAGACGTGAAAGCGGCACAGCGGCCAACTCGTGCCGCGTTGCCGAGCTGTGGCACCGAGGTTGGATCTTGACAACAACCGTTGACAGATCGAGTACTCCGCGCTGGGCGTCATTGCATCGGTCAAGTACGCGCGTTGTAGTGCTCTGAACTTGACGAGCCGTAGGGCTATGACGTGCTGCATCGTTATCGATGCTCTCTTTCTGATGTTCAAGTTGCAAACTTGCGCGAGCGCAAAACATCACCGGTACTCATCTACTATGTATACACTCGGTGAGCGTTGAGTACCCGCACATGACCACCGGGTCATGCTAAGCAACGACGGCGGGCATCATAATCAACAAAGTTATACATTCCAATCAGCGCTCCATACTACAAGCAATCCAACATCGTACAGCCCATCCCCATCCATACACTTCCGAATTCCCTTTCAATCCTCACACATCCCCATGGCGGAAAGTCTCCGCGCCCTCTCACCAATCGCG